GCGTTGTAAGTCCGCACACATACCGCTGTGCTACTAGGGGGCTTATACGAGTCAAGAATGACTAGTGTACTGGACGCGTGTAGCGCTTGAGTGGAAAATCAGAAATATTACGATCTAATTGGACGTGGCTGAAAACAAGAATCTGTTTTAAAAATCCAGAATGTAACTGAAAACTGACAATCTTTAGTTTGGAAGTAATTGGACATAAAACCACTTCAGTGATATCCAGAAAAACGGAAAAAATGAGAGGATATGGGAATGGATAGAAATAAACATAGAGAAGGTTGGGTAAATGTGATTGCAAAAATAAAATTGTTAGGTTATAAAAGCAGATTAACATATAAGATATACATATGCAACATAGCGTGACATAAGAGAGAGAGACAGAGAGATTTCATACGTGCTTGACACGCCCATCTTGGATAGTGTTTCAAGTCAATAAAGTTCTAATTTCAATATCAGGCTTAGAACACAACTAATTATGGCTGGTTTTCTGTCTGTCTCACTAGCTGTCTGTGATTCCACCTGACTGTCGATCTATTTGCACGTTTATGTGCATCAATTTACTTAGTTGATCTGTTTGTACGTCTGTGTATCCATTTTCCATTGATCTATTTGTTCGTCAGTGTATCCATTGCGCACTGATCCGTTTGTACGTCTGGGTATCCAGTTGTATACTGATGTATTTGTAGGTCTGTGTATCCGTTTGCGTATTGATCCATTTTTACGCCTGTGTGCCCATTTCTCTTTCTATTTGTTGGTATATATGTGTATCTATTTATCTATTCAACTATTTTCATCATATCACAGATTCGTCTGTACTGGATAACCAACACGTGAACCTGGTACATTATTCTAAAATGAAACATATTAACTTACACAAGAAAACAAAACCCAAACTATTCCGAGAGGGTGACTGCAGTTCCCAACAATAACAGGTGGTGATGGCTCAAAGATTATCACGTATACCTTTAGATGTAGAATTAGCTTGGTGGAATGGTTACACAAAACCTTGTATTCTGTTATTTTGAATATATGCTTAATGCACTGTTCCTTTACTTTGAAGTATTAAACTTACCTGATCCTTTTCTATAAAGCCGACGAAAGAGGTACGCTCTACCTCTACAGGCTGCCCTGTCTTGTCATATAACGATACCACAAAATGAAAAAAATTGCTTTTTCGTAAGTTGGACGGAGGCTGCTTCTCAAGGTGGGCACGTCCTAAACCAACACTGGGAAAGAAATTATATTAACTGAGATACGTTAATTAAGCAGTAGGGAAAGAAAATAACGGTATTAGTAAAAGTTAATAAAATTGTGACATGTTTCATGATGATACAAGATCTTCTAAATAAAAAGTCATGAAGGTACTGGACATCTAAGTGATGATTTACAAGACAGTTAATCAACACGTGACACAATGGATTCGGGTCACATAAATTACGATTTAATAGATAGCTTACCAACATATCGTACTAATAGCACTGAACAAGTACGTGACGATTTATTGGACTATTATCTCTGGTCAAATAAACGACAATTTACTGGACACTTTAAAAGAACAAAGCGTTTCTTACGTTATAGTTAACATACAATTAAACACGTAACAGCAATAGCCCCAAGAATTTTTCTCTACATTTCTTTATAAACAAATTTTCAGATTTTACTGTAATAAAATTGCTGATCATTTGATAATATATGTTGAAAAACAAACAAAGAAATACTCGAGTCTGGTTAAATGAAAAAATTAAACATATACGTACAATATTCGAATCAGTTAAAGAAGAAAAAAAATCTCACCAGATTTTCCTCCTACTGGCACAGCGGTATGTCTGCGGACTTACAACACTAAAAACCGAGTTTCGATACCCGTGGTGGGCAGAGCACAGATAGCCCATTGTGTAGCTTTGTGCTTAACTTCAAACAAGCATCAGTACTGTAGTTATAATGAACCGTGGAAAACAAATCTTTTAGTTTGGCATGAATTTAATTTCAATTATATTTTGCTGAAACATTTTGGTTTTCTTGTAAAGTTAGCCTTGGTGACAAAATTTACAGTCAATCATTAAACCTAAATATACAAATTAACCGAAAAACGTAAAACAAACCCAGCTCAGAAGCTCCCCCCCCCCCCTACGAGATCGTCGAAGAATGATTCGAGTTATGTGTCAGAAATTATTACTCACAATAATAAAAACTTTACGATATGTTTTTTATGACACCAGTTTTGTGTATCATGCAGTATAGTAGCACTGATTTGTTCATTCCCGTATCATGTTTTTCTACATCAGTAGCACTGATTTGTTCATTCCGGTATCATGTTTTTCTACATCAGTAACACTGATTTGTTCATTACGGTATCATGTTTTTCTACATCAGTAGCACTGATTTGTTCATTACGGTATCATGTTTTTCTACATCAGTAGCACTGATTTGTTCAATCCTGCATCATGTTTTTCTACATCAGTAGCACTGATTTGTTCATTCCGGTATCATGTTTTTCTACATCAGTGGCACTGATTTGTTCATTCCCGTATCATGTTTTTCTACATCAGTAGCACTGATTTGTTCATTCCGGTATCGTGTTTTTCTACATCAGTAGCACTGATTTGTTCATTCCGGTATCGTGTTTTTCTACATCAGTAGAAGCAAACAACTAATTATTGTGTTTCATTTCTTCTCTAAAGATAATTTCATTAATGCTATTGGTTGTAATGTTTTATATATAATTATTTATACTCATCAAGATTATTTCATATTGTTAGTTTACTATATAGACATATGATTCTCCTAAACCATTCCAAACTAGTGAGACGTTGTCTAGAATACGTCTGAAAGAAGCGACGGTACCAAACTGATGAATCAAATCATTATATATTTATGTTATATACTCCTAGCTAAGCTTAGCTCATCGTTTCTTAAGTTATTTCCAAATTCCCACCTATTTAGTTAGTTTGCTTCGATCAGACATAATTGGTAATTATAAACATGTTACATAACGACAAATGGTTAGTATACATGATATAATTGGTAATTATAAACATGTTACATAACAACAAATGGTTAGTATACATGACATAATTGGTAATTATAAACATGTTACATAACGACAAATGGTTAGTATACATGATATAATTGGTAATTATAAACATGAAACATAAAATAACGACAAATGGTTAGTATACATGCCATAATTGGTAATTATAAACATGTTACATAACGACAAATGGTTAGTATACATGACATAATTGGTAATTATAAACATGTTACATAACGACAAATGGTTAGTATACATGATATAATAGGTAATTATAAACATGAAACATAAAATAACGACAAATGGTTAGTATACATGATATAATTGGTAATTATAAACATGTTACATAACGACAAATGGTTAGTATACATGACATAATTGGTAATTATAAACATGTTACATAACGACAAATGGTTAGTATACATGATATAATTGGTAATTATAAACATGTTACATAACGA